ATGGTATGTTTGAAAGATGGTTAACAGTTTCTTGATACAATTTAATACTTTACTTATCAAATAAGCCATCAATTTCCTCCTAGTTATTTATCCATGCAAACATATGATAAACACCACCACAAAACTATTCAAATATTAGTAGACCTTTATTCACAATATCCTCCAACTGGTGAATGCATAAACAATTTGTGCTATATCCACACAGTGGAACACATCTCAGTCATACAAAAAGAAGAATCGTTGATCCACATAACATGGATAAATCTCAAAAGCATTATGTGAAGTGAAACAGACCAGACACTAAAATACTGCATAATTTCAATTAAATGGAATCCTAGAAAAAACTAATGTCAGAAAATACTTCTCTGGTTGCCTGGGTTGGCAGGGAGAAAACTTTTTAGGATGAAGGAAATTTTCCATCTTGCTGTAGTTCTGGTTACATTGAATTATTTCTTTAGAATTGCTGAATTTTACATGTAATTTTTATTTCATGGAAATGTGACTCTATTTTAGCAAATTGCCGAATTGAGTAGCCAATCATATTTTATATTTTGTCCTTTTGTAAGCATGTTCTTAGTGTTGCTTAGTAGTTGGTTATTTTTTCTTTCTCTCTTTCTTATAAATAAATAATAGCAAATTGTCCATTTCATGAAGTGTTATTATTTATTTTTAAATTCACTGATGTTTTAAATCAGCTAGGTTGTAATTCTCTTATTGCCTGAAACTTAGCTTGGCTTTAAAGATTTATTTATTTTTTTGACAGACAGAGATCATAAGTAGGCAGAGAGGCAGGCAGAGAGAGAGAGGGAGAAGCAGACTCCTCGATGATCAGAGAGCCCGATGCGGGGCTCAATTTCAGGACCCTGGGATCGTGACCTTAGCGGAAGGCAGAGGCTTTAACCCACTGAGCCACCTAGGCGCCCCTCAGCTTGGCTTTAGAAGGTAGTGTATTTCAGGGAAAGGACAAGTCATTTATCTTTTTTAAAAATTTTCAGTCTTTTCCCCTGAGCTCAGTTCTGTTAACCTTTATGATCGGGGCCAAATTTTTCACTTAATGCTTCTTGACCTTACCTCGATAATTTTTAAGGTTATCACATGTTTTATAACGTTAATAGCCAACATTTACTGAGCACTTACTATGTGGCAGATCGTGTACTAATGACTTCATGCATTTAATTCTTTTAATTCTCAGCAACATTGTAAAAGGAATGAAATTATTTTTTGCCATTTTATAGATAGTAAAACTGATATATCCCAACTTCCAAATTCATACAGCTTATAAGTGGGGAAATAGAGATTTGACTCTAGACAGTACAATTTTAATCTGTTCCCTGAACTGTCAATTTACAAATCATCTAAAATATAGACCTTAAATTTTAGTGTATAGGAGAATCAGTTTACTTAAATTCTATTCTCAGATTTTTCCCTTGCCCTCATGATTCTTACTTGGTGGGTTTAGGATGAATCCAGTAATCTGTATGTTTAGCAAGCACTGTAGGAGATGGTTTGTTGAACCTGGTTTGATAAACCCCATTTTCTGGGGCATCTGGGTGGCTCAGTAGGTCAAGCATTGGACACTTGGTTTGGGCTCAGGTCATGATCTCAGGGTTGTGAGATCAAGCCCTACTGTGCTCAGTGTGGAGTCTGCTTCTTCCTTCTTCCCTCTTCCCCTCCCCTGCACCTCCCCTTTATCACATGCTCATGTCCTCTCTTTCTCTCTCTCTCAAATACATAAATCAACTAATTAATAAAAACCATTTTCTGTGACTTTAAGCTAACTGTTTAACTCTTCCAGGCCTTTGTCATCACCTGCTCAAAGGTGATTTTTTTTAGGATGGAATGGGATGACAGTTCTTGGCACACCAAAAATTCTCTAGAATAAATTAGTTTTTATTGCTCTTGGTGGTAGATGTTATTTCATAGAATTGGTCAACAGTGGCAATTGTTTCCAACCCTGTATTTCAGTGAAATGATATCATCCAATAAGCAAAAGGTGTTTCAAAGTGAAAAGACATCTTACTGACTGTAAGAACTGTTTTTATTGTTTTTGCTTTTTTCAGTTTGATTATATTGGGAAAAACAGTGTGTTCTGCTCTGGCATATGTTTCTAAAATACCAATTAGCTCACCTGCAATTCGTAAATAGAATTATGTTAGTGTAATGTAGAAGTTGCAAAGCTTTATATGTGATTTATGCCCCCAAGGGGGCAGAATAGTCAGAGTTGAATTATAACCTTGGGTGGAAAAAGAAGGCCCTCAGCTTTGATCTAAATAGTCAGTGGGGGCCCTTTTGGTTTTACGAAAATTTTTTAAAAAGCCAAGTACCAATATCAGGGGCTCCATGGCCAAAGGAACATACCCCTTGTCTTATGTGGCTCTTAAATATTTGCAGTTGCATTGCCCCCCACCCTGTGCCCATTTCAGTGGCACGCCTATGGGCTCAGAGTGTGCCTTCCAGCTGGATTTTTCCTACCAATTCTTTTTTTTTTTTAAGATTTTATTTATTTGATAGAAATCACAAATAGGTAGAAAGGCAAGCAGAGAGAGAGCAGGGGAAGCAGACTCCCCACTGAGCAGAGAGCCCGATGAGGGGCTCGATCCCATGACCGGAGCTGAAGGCAGAGGCTTTAACCCACTGAGCCACCCAGGTGCCCCTTTTCTTACCAATTCTAATTAACATATTGCCAGTCATTCCCCTCAATTGTGAAGCATTGTTGTTTGCTTTGTTTTTTGTTTGTTTGCTTGTTTGTTTTTAGGCTCTGGGCTGACCTTCTTGCTTGGGTGGTCCAGATCATCTTCCAAGGTACAAATACTGTTTGCTAGTGATCTGTTCCCAATGTTTCATGTTTTCGGTGGTCTTCCCAGAAGCTATTTTCCCCACAAGTCCTATTATTTTGGGTATGCCGTTTTGTTTGCTATGTGGGGATTGCAGGATGCATGTGACTTCTCAGATACTTTAAACCCCATTTTAGGAACATGAGTATATCCTGCTTTGCAATATCTTACAGTCTCTGGAAGGGTTGGTGTGTTAATGGCTTGTTAATTATAAACTAACTTACTTCCTCAGAGTGATCATGTCTTTCTTGCCTCTGGTGTTGTATTTGTTTCTTACAATACAATTGAGTAAATCCCACTTGAGTTACTTTCTTTTTTACAGTTGGCAAGATTTCTAATTTGTATTTGAATTTCTTCCATGTTTATATCAAAAGAAGATACAAATTCAACTTTAATTATTAGCTTTTATCTGTAAATTACTGCTTCTTACCTAAAACTACAAAATAATTTATAGAGTTGGAATAGAAAAATAATTTCTTACTATAGAGAGATTATTTTCTACAATAATAGTTATGATTCTTATAATTGCTATTATTTATTGAATGTCCATTAAATGTCCACTCATTTTTCTAGGAACGTCACTTGTAATATTACTAATTCTTAAAATATTTCATGACTATAACATAGATTTTCTAAATAAAGAAAAAAAAGTACATCTGTGTTTTAGAATCTTCAACAAAAACTCAAGGGATATGAAATAAATTCCTGTTATTAGGTAATACTATTGAAATTTCAACACCATCACATAAATATGATATTTACTAAATGATGGAGGTATTTATTGGTATACCCATTGTCTAAGTGCAGCTACTTTAAAGACATTATTGCACGCATTTCAGATATTTCTTAAAAACTTACCCCTTGCTTTTGTTATGGATTTAGACATGCTTTTACCAGAAATAGAACATAATCAAAGTATAATAAAATAATTTTATGGATAGAAGCAGCATTGTTCATAGTCACTGAGTATATATTTGGATAGTTAGTACATTAAGATTTTAGTTTGGACCTAAAGAGCTTGAATAACAGTGTTATTTTAAGTTGTTTCTAAGGTGGTTTCTTAAGTTACTCTAAAGAATACAGGCCCTTGCACTTTTTAACCGCATGACTTTGGTCAAATTACTTATACGAATCTGAGTCTTATCCTTTCTCTGTAGTGGAGAGAATAAGTGTGCCTATTCTTGAGTGGTCCCACTGGTTAAATGTGAAGTAACTGCTATATAAAACATTCCACATACATGTTAGCTATGAATATTAATATCATTATTGTTACTAAATTTAGAACAATAATTGCTATGTATCTAGTGTCTTGCCATCCGCATTTTTGTATTTTCCTAACCTAGGCAGGTATAGTCTGCTGAGTGATTTAACACATTTAGCTAGTTGCACTGTGGCATGAATTTGACCTGATTTCATGGGATAAAACAGAATGAGCACAGTGGTTCATGGCTGTCAGTAGTGAAAAATAGCTGGAAATCAGACAAACAGCTTCATTGCTGAGATTGTTTCCGGGCTAAAAGTTCTTCCAACAGCTGTTTGTTTTGGCCATTAATCCTGTCCATTCTCTTTTTTTTAAACTGGGGGAAATACAGTTTTCTTTAAAAAGAGAATGTAGGCTGGTTATTTCTGAAGTCAGGAAGAACTCCTGTCCTTCCACTATTGTGGTCTTTTGGCTGCCTTGACAGTTGGACTGAGGACTTTTCCTTTTGTTTCTCTCCTCTTTTTTATTCTCAGCGCTCAGATTCAGACTGCTGTAGTGGGAGGAAAAAGTATAACTAGGAGCTCTTTAATCCTAGAGAAGGAGCTTTGTAACAGTTACCTTCAAGAAAAGTTTACTCCCCAAAGGAGTATTTAATATTACATAGGCACTGACTCACTGAACAGAGAGAGAGTGAGGCTAAGAGGGAGAGAGAGAGAGAGAATGATGAGAATATAAGCCATTTGAGCCAGCCAGAACGAAAGATACTTAACTAAAGATGAAGGAAAGTTTTGCCTCTTCCTGGAAGTTATATTATTAGGGTTTTTTTTTTTTTTTTTTTCTTTTTGAATCATGATGACCGCTAGTTTTGTTTAAAGTATTTGTTCTGGAAATACTAAAGTTGGAGTCTACCAGACTGAGGTTAGAAGCATTTTCTTTGGCAGCAAGAAGATACTTTTATGGAAGCCATGCCTGTACTTGGGGTTGCCTCAAAACTGAGACAGCCAGCTGTTGGGTCAAAGCCTGTTCATACTGCTCTTCTGATACCAAATCTTGGCACTACTGGGTCACAGCCCTATTCTTCAGGACCTTTGGAACTTACTGAAACAGAGAGCTCAATGCTTTCTTGTCAGCTCACATTAAAATCAACCTGTGAATTTGGAGAGAAGAAACCCCTCCAAGAAAAAGCTAAAGAGACAGAAGACAGTAAGGTTAGTAGCTGAAGGTTACTTGCAGACGCACAGAGCTAAAATGCAGATTTCCTTGTAGGTGGAATGTAAAGCATGTTGTGAAATGGGGAGTGGTAGAGGAACACCGGTATAAGAAAGTAAGTAGTTTGTGCAGCTGAAAAGCTAAATATTTAGCTTATGTAAAAGTGTATTGATAATTTATGCTTGTAGCAAAAGTCATTGACAAATTTCTCTGAAAATGCATGTTTGCTATAAGTACTATTTATTGATGAATTGCCTCGTTAGTCTTAGACAGCACTTTGTTACTAATAGCAGTAACAGTCACAAATATGAGAAAAAGGGACCTATTTTTCATGCATATTACACTGTAAAAAAAGGAGATTTATCTGTTAAAATCCATACAGATGTTGTCACATTTTCTAAATGCCATTTGTATTTTAAACATTTTCTGTTTGAATATATGTCTCTTAGACTTCTTAATTCATTGCACTATGAACAAAAGTAAAATATTATTTTCCTTGATATTGCACATTTGTCTGGATTTTCACTTGTAAATTGAAACCCTACTGTTTTACTTATTACTGACATCTTTTTCAGTCATTTAATTTATGATATTTTCTGAGCAGTGGCTCGTAGCTCTTGGTTTCTAAGCCATACTGCAGTTGTTTTCTCCAGATGCACGATTGCATGGCCTTTCAGTTGCTCAACCTCAGGGATATCCATTTGTACCCTGATAAACATCACCTTTTAATGCAGCACTAACTATGACGTCAGGCTTTCCAAAGTTGCTGTTCTTACCTCTGGTTAAGGGGCTGCTTTGATTTTACTTTCCCACCCAAATGCAATTTTAAAATAATTTAAGAAAAAACTGTGTATTGAAATCCAATCTACAAGTTAAAAAGAGAGCCACCCCTTTGATCTGAAATCTCCTTCCGTGCAGCTCCACCTGTTCAAGTCCTCTAAGGAACAGCCAAATGCAAATTTTTCCCTAAAGTCTTTGCTAGCTACCCCTTACTCTCCTTTCCTCTCTTGTGATTCTCTGGCTGTAATAATAGTTAAAGCACATTTATTTACATTGTATTTTAATTATCTTGATGATTTATTTCTATTCCCACTGAATTGAAAGTATGCAGATGGCAGGGCCTTATCTATACTGTGTATAGCTCCTGCTGCCCAGTGCCTTATGCCTCAAAATTAAACAGTAGTTAAATGGATTAATACATGAATGAATGAATGAATGAATCAATGAATCAATCAATCATCAATCAATGAAGAATTATTCTGACAAAGATTTAGTTAAGTTCATTAGTCTTTTTGGATCATTTACTCTTAAAACAGAAGGTGTGGAGTGAATGATTTTTTAAAGTACTTGTAGCTCTAAAGTTATATTATTCCTTTTGTATTTTAAGAAAACTTTAGACAATCACACAAGAAAAATCAGTTAAAAGATAATTACTTGGGGGCATCTGGGTGGCTCCGTGGGTTAGGTCACTGCCTTTGGATCAAGTCATGATCTCAGGGTCCTGGGATCGAGCCCCACATCGCACTGGGCTCTTTGCTCAGCAGGAAGCTGCTTCCCCCCTCTCTCTTTTCCTGCCATTCTGCCTACTTGTGATCTCTTTCTCTGTCAAATAACTAAATAGAATATTTTAAAAAGTTAATTGTAGGCTTATAGTTCTCAGTCTAATGTAAGCAATTCAGGGTAAACGAAAGGAAAGATAAATTATTAACAAAAGACTAAAAGTATTTAACTTTATGCAAAAAATTAAAAGCAAATGCCACAAAGTTTTGTTTTAATGTTCCATGTACCCACTACAACTTGTTGGGATTAGATTGAAAGAATAGGTAGGCCCTTTTTCTCTGCTGACCATGCCTCTGATCTGCAGGTTTAGTCAAACTTCCATTTTGCTAAACAGCCTTGGCCTAAGACTTTTGTATCATAAATACTGTTTGCAATAGAATTTTGGTTCATCTCTTTGGTTAACAAACGTATCAATCACACATCTGATATTCCAATAAGACTCTGTGGTAAGCAATGTTGTAGTTAGGGGATGTTTTTAGCATGCCACTTGGCGATTAAAAAACTTTTTCAAACAAATTTAAAGAATGCCTTGTCAGCATTTCAGAATATTTTTAAATGTCAAAAAAGTATATTTAAAGATTTTTATAAACTTTGAAAAAATAGAACTGAAGAAAATAACAGACATGACCAAGAAAGTTGCATTAGAGATAATCAGATTTTACTGCAAATAGTAGGAAACTCAACTTAACAATAGGATAAACAGCACAGGCGTTTCTTTCTTTTTCTTTTTTAAAAATTTAAATTCAGTTAATTGGCATATACTGTATTATTAGTTTCAGGTAAAGTTTAGTGATTCCATTCATTGAGTATAACACCCAGTGTTCACTACATCAAGTGCCCTCCTTAGTGCCCATCACCCAGTTACCCATCTACCACTCACCTCCCCTCCAGCAAACCTCAGTTTGTTTCCTAGAGTTAAGAGTCTCTTATGGTTTGTCTCCCTCTCTGATTTTGTCTTAATTTCTTTTTCCCCTCCCTTCCCCTATGATGCTCTGTCTTGTTTTTTAAATTCCACATATGAGAAAAATCGTATGATAATTGTCTTTCTCTGATTGACTTATTTCGCTTAGCCTATATCCTCATGTAAAGGATATCTGAAAGTAAGCAGTCCATAGCTGGTAGTATGGCTTCTTGAAATTGTCAGCGAACCTGTCTCTCTCTTTTGCCCATCACTTTGTGGCATCTGTCTCTGAGTCTTGAGTGGATAATTGAGTTTTGCTCCTTTAGAAAGACACACTCTGCTTCATTAAACGTTCTTCCACATCCAATTGGCCTGTTTACAATTCCAAGGCCTATGTAACCATTCCAGTCTTTAATTGTTGACACCTTTTCTTCTATTGTAGTTCCATCTAGCTACTGTTTTCCAGATGTCTCCTTTCTGGGTGTCCCAAGTTGTTTAAAGTACTTAGTCTCACTGTTGTTTAACAAATAAATAACATTAGTTCTGGACTCTATGCCACATACATTAGGACTCTCCATCACCATACCTCAAGGACTTATGTATTTCTCTAGCTGTTTCTTATTCTGAATTCTTACTTTCTTTGACTTTTCTAATGTGTCTCTTCATATGGTTGGTTTTTCCATTCTTCCTGGGTATTCATCCAAATAAGAAAGAGAGTCACTTTGCTTTGGAAACTGAGAATCAAGAGATTAAAGTTAAGAAAGGGGCTTCTATTTTGTCACAGTTCAGCAAATCACATGCAATTAAGCATTCAACATCCTTGTTCATGAAAGTCCCCTGGCCATACCCATCACATTAGCTTTCTTTTTTGATTCCCCAACTTCGTTCCTGCTCGGTCCGCCACCTCGCTTTTCCTCCTCCTTTTTACTGTCATTTCTCTCTCTTTATTGTCAGTTTCTCTCCAGTTTTGGGCCCACTCATCTTTTCCCTCTTTGATTACCCATGCAAACTGGAGATTCTTTACATTATTATAGAAAATAAATTTGAGTACCTACTTTGTTCTTTATAGGATATTTCTTATTTTTTTTTTCTCATGACATTTCAAAGAGGGCTTTATTATCCACATTTACAGAGAAATAAACTCAGATAGAGTGGGAGACAGTCATAAGATCAGATGGTTAACCAGTACCAAAATCCAGAATTTGAATCTAGGTTTGCTCCTACAAAGCTTTTGTTTGTTTGTTTGTTTTTGTTTATTACATTATACTTTCTCTTCATGATGTAATTGCAGTATTTTTTTTGTAGCTATACCTTATCCCGCAAATCTCACCAACTCCTGAGTCAGTTCAGACGTTAAAGAAAAGAATAAACAAATTGTTGTGGAGGTTAAAAGGAAGAAAAGTTTGCACCCAGTTAGGGAGGTCTGAAGGAAATTCTTGAAAGAGTAAAGGCCTCCTTGACCATGTTGGTATGGACATTTGTTTCATTTTCTTACTCTACCAGTTGCAAGGAAAATTAAGGTAGAGATTTGTTCTTAATATTACATTCACAGTGTGTTAGCACTAATGTTTTAAAAACAGAAGATACTTAAACCTTAAGTCCAGTATTTTTTTAAATATGAATAGCAATATAGACAAGCAAATATATTGTATGAATAGTATTGTTATTGAGGGAAATATTTTTGTCGATTTTAGGGACAAGAGAAATCCTTTTTGAATGGAGCATTCAGGAAAGACTTCACCAAGTAGTTGGTATTCAATGGGCAGATCGGACCCAAGTATAGAAAGGAAAAAAGCGTTCGTTGAATGAAAGATTGGGAGAGAATGCCCAGTGAGTAAACCATTATAATTTGAGGATAATGTTTATGGAAAGGAGCAGGTTTAGGTCAGGTTATACATGGAAGCAAACTTCATTAGATAGACATTGGAGAAGGCGCTTAATGTAAGAATGAGACAAAATTACACAGTAATGTTATGTAGGAGAAATCAGAGCAGAAAAGGATTAGTACTAATGTTTATAGAGGCTTGTTATATGCCTGATAGTGGGCCGGACAATTTATGGAGTGTCCCATCAGTCCCCACAATAGCCCTATGTTATAGGTACTGTTGTTACCCTCATTTCATAGATAAAGAACTGAGGCAGAGAGTGGTTATATTACTTACCAATATTTCAGTGCTAAAGTGTAGTAGAATAGAGATTCAGTCCAAGGCTGTGTGCCTCCAGAAGACATTACTCTTATCTAATAACACTGCAGTGAAGACTTTGCTGTGTCAGTGGGAGAGAACTATTCATTGACTTGATTTCTATATAGACTAGTAAGGTTTGTTTTAAATATTTGATTAGCACTGCTAGTGAATTGCAAATAAATCATGCTGTGCCCAAGGGCCTAGAATTTTCAGAAGACAAGTAAGTTGACACATGGTCTCTACTGAATTTTTCAAATAACAGAAATAAATAAAAGAAACCCCATGATAGAATAATAGCAGCAGATGTCAATAAAGTAGATGACTGACTCTGGCCTCCAGCTGTTTCCTTCTT